TTCATCAGAGCTAAACAACAAAAAATAAATCTGAAGCTCCTATGTGTAATAGTTTTTGAGCAATAACCATTTTTGTATGTCCAGATACCCCTTGTACAGATTAATTGGGGGGTCCGGGAGGTGGGGGCACTTATTGGTGGGCCTGATGGTTAGAGTTTCATCAGAGCTAAACAACAAAACAAATCTGAAGCTCAAATGTTGAACAGTTTCTGAGTTATGAGCATTTTTGCATGTCCTGACACCCCCTCTTTGAAAGGAGCCCCCTCCTCAAATATGGGGTCTATCGTAAAGCCGTTGGCTGGTGCAGTGTAGGTCAGACTCATCTACAGTCCTGCCGAATTTCGTGTTGATCCGTGCAGATGTTTTTATGCTACGGTTGACCAAAATCACTGAAAAAAAAAAAAAACAGTAAGAAAACGACTCCTGCTTACGCTCCGTGTGCAGCGGTCATAATAAGTAAATAAAAAAGTCAAAATAAAAAGCAAAAACTGCATGTTTTTTCCCCAATGATTTGTTACTGATAAATACCACTTTTCTTTACATGTAAACATGTCAGCAATGGAGACATCCATGAGGACCAAGGATGGAGATGGTTTGGATGTGTTAAATATTTACACTCATGTTTTTGAGTAAAGAATTTAGGTAAAAGAGCRTTGTTTACACTGAGTACGTACCCTCATTTCAGATCTGGAAARCTACWGGAGTAAACACAAGCTTCACCATTTACAGCTGAAGAGAAGCTTTTGTTGTTAGATTTCAAACCTCGGCCTATATTCATTTGTTAAATGTACAAAAAGCCAACCTTTAACATCACAGGTTTACTATTTCAAAAATTTAAATTTAGTAAAGATTTTCCCTGAGCTGCAGTGTTGTATGAAGAACCTYAAAGCGATACTTGAGTAAAGTACAACATATTTTACTATAAAATTACTTTGGTAAAATAGTTAGTCKCTTCTAAGAATATTACTTGAGTAAACGTCTTAAAGTGTCTGACATTTATTGTGTGTCAAAAGTAAATTTCAGATGTAAAAAGTACTTACAGTACTTACAGTGGGGGTGGGGGGGGGCACCATATCTGGATAGTTGTTGTTTGTTTTGTTTGTTTTTTGTAACAATAAGCTGGAATGAAAACAAGCCTAAATGAAATGGGAGTGATGACTTTCTGCTTCTTACATTTTTTTAAATGCAAGGAAAGTACAGATAATTTGTAAAGAGAAGTAAAAAGTCAGCTGAAAAGTAATTCGTAAATAGATAACCAAAATTTCTACTTAAGTGAAATAGTTGATACTTTACAACATGTCTTTTAGCCACAAATTAACACTTATTAACATTTAATACTGTTCCCTTTATAAATAAAATTAAATTTTATCTAATTTCTTGCTTCCTACATTGATGGTTCATGTATGCAACAGATTAAAATGTTTTAACATTCAGAACAAAACTGTGAGCAGAGGTGAAAGTGGTGTTTTGTGAAATGCAGATTCAGCTTTACTTCACTAAAACCAAACACCCTTTTGTCCCTGACGTGAATTAAAATCGGTTAGAGAGCCGTGAAGCAGCGCTTTAAATTACCCCCCTCACTGGTAACTGTTAAATCATTTCAGCAAACAGCAGCGAGAACAACCTTCGTCTCACAGGGAAATTTAACCCTCTGCTGCGAGAGAAAACCAGAAAAAAATGTCCGTCTCAGCAGGAAACAATAAGGAGGACGGTAATTAACWACCCACACATTCACTTTACATCATCTTTGACCTTTTTTTTTTTTTCAAACGATCTGGATTTTGTCTGTCATGAAGAATTAGTCTCCTTATATTTTAATCTTCATTACTGCTTACACTAAGGCCATCTTTCATCCCCTCCAGTGAAAACACCAACCTAAAAGCACGGCCTGCCTCATGATGGATCACTGCCGATTACCAGAGTGACACTTTTTATCTGACGTGTATCTTGAGTAATCCTCGCAGTTTTTGACCTTGCACATAACCCCTGTCTCTGCTCGCAGCACAACCTGAATCCTCGAAAGCGTCCGAGGCGGGTGGGTGGAGAATGGAATGGAGCACATTTTACATGAACCTTAAACTGTTAGTTTGCTGTTGCCATCACTTCGAATGTGCAATATGCTGCTGAAAAGCTGCAGTGGGTGTTTGAGTGCGCATGTGCACTGTATACCCCTCCCTGTAAGACACACAGTAAAGACTCATACCAATGGTGCAGTATGAGGGCCAAAATTAAGACTATTGTGCAACAAGCGCTGCTACATTCTTGTAGCAGGAGGCTATATCTATTCCTAAGCCAGCTATTGATCTGATTAAGGATAGACCGGCACCGGTAACTGAGAAACCGGCACTGAAAAATGGGAAGGAGACTATTCATTAGTGTTAGCATCAGAGAGGCTAACAAGCATGGATGCTCACCTAATTTTTTAGACGTAAACTTTTTAAGCAACATGCACTGTCAGGTAAAGCACTCGGTTTATTGGTCGGTCTACGTTCCTACCCTCATCTATGGTCATGAGCTTTGGGTAGTGGCTGAAAGAACAAGATCACGGATACAAGTGGTTCCTCTGCAGGGTGTCTGGGCTCTTCCTTAGAGATAGGGTGAGAAGCTCAGTCATACAGGAGGGACTCAGAGTAGAGCCGCTGCTCCTCCACGCCGAGAGGAGCCAGTTGAGGTGGCTCAGGCATCTGATTAGGATGCTTCCTGCATGGATGCCTCCCTGGTGAGGTGTTCCGTGCATGTCTCCCTGGGAGGAGACCCAGAGGAAGACCCAGGACACACTGGATGGACTATGTTTCTCAGCTGGCC